GCGGCGGCGGGCAAGTTGGGGGACGATGACTCGTTGTTGCAGGCTAGTTCATCATCGTGAGTTACTGTAGCCGTTTGATGCGGATCACGCGGTGTATATTCGTTCTTTCTTTTATGGAGACGATAGACTTGGTTTGGCATTGGTCTATTTTTCGAATAAGGGTGTACGTGCGTGCTTGTGTATGGGGCATTGGTTTATTTTTCGTATGTAAAAGAGTTTATTTTATTTGGAATATTGGGGTTTTAATAAGTTTTTATTTGAATTTAAAAGTTATTTTATAGTTCATTTATGATGATAATATAATTTTTTTATATTTAAATATTTTTAAATGCAACATCCCGCTACCCGCATAATTGAGCGTTGGCTCTTGTCGGTCATTATCGTCACCCGTCATTGCCCCCTAACGGTTGTCTGTCGCCGCTCTTTGTTATATTAATTTCATTTCATTTAAAATAAAAATAAAAGAACTTATATTTAGAGTAGAATCTCATAAGCATTAAATCAAATTAGGAGGCTGTGTATATGACATTAATATGTATAATATGATATTTGAGTTCTCTTCAATTTAATAATAGTTTGAGGATGATATTATAAATTAAATTCCAACTGTTCAATTCTCTTTGGATAATTTTGATTATTGTTTTTCAAACTTAAATAAACTCAATCATAGTCATGGAAACTAGATTAGGGGGTTATATATATATATATATATATATAATTGTCCTGCATGTGTAAATGCCATTTTTTTTCTGTAATGGTTTCATTATGCCCTTACCGCTCCTAAATATCAAAAAATTTGTCAGGCCTTTTTTCAAAGCAATTACAACATGGTCCATAGTGCGCATTCATCCTCATAGAATAACAATGTCAAATTAGATTTATGAGTCGGGTTCGGGACTGCTCCGAGTTTGACTCAACTCAAAATTGTTGACTCTATTTGAATTGTAAATAAATCATAAAGATCAACCTGAACCTAAATCACCCAAACCCAATGTGTATAACCTGTTTAATATAAGACATAATAACTATTTATGCCAAATTTGAGTTGATTTTGAGCTATTCTCTAGTTGGCTGGTTGATTCCGAGGTAATCTCAGGTTAGCGGGCCAGTTTCAACTCAAATTCAAGTAGAGATATCAAAATTAGATCATACATGTTCAACCCGAACTTGCTGACTCAACAAATTTGGGTCTGAGTTGACTTGAATAATTTTTAGTTTGGGTTCAAGTTAGAAATTGTAACATTGAAATCAACCCACCAACTCATAATTCACCCGAATTTATCACGAATAGGTGCTACGCCTTGTATTAAATAGGTTATATGTGCCATGTTTGGGTTAGCAAGTTGAATGCGAGTCAGGTTCGGTTTGGATTTTCTCACCCATTTAATCTTCGGTTTGAGTTCGGGCCAAGTATTTTCAGGTCGGTCGATTTTGGGTCAGGCTTGAACCGCCCTTGTGAACTTAATTTGACACCCCTAACTTGGAGTTGGCAGGGCAAACCATACTTTGGAAAAAAAAAAAAAAAAAAAAAAAAAAAAAAATGGGTTGCACAAAATTCGACCTAAAATTGTTCGGGCCAATTCGAACTCATATTTTTGAGTTGAATCCAAGTAATGTTTGCCTATCTGTACAAATTTTGCACTAATACTTGGTTCTAGTCTTTCTTGCCCGGTCATTGTCAATCATCCTTTTAAGGAGCTGTTTGGCGAAGAAAAAGTAAGAAAATTCACAAATTAATAAATTAAACAATACTTTAATAAAATTAACAAAATGGTCATTATGGTTTCATTGTAGCTAATTCAAACAATGACAATGCCTGAATATTATTAAAAAAAAAAAGAACAGAATACTAAATCCATCATAATCTTAACTCTCGTTCATCCTAAATTGACCTCAATGTAAGTGTTGAAGTTCCTGGTTAGACAGCATTGCCGTGGGAGAGGCCTACTCTCTTTTTTTTTCCATTTTTGAAGGCTGGTTGCATGAATTTTCATCTCTTTGAATTATATTTTGAAAGAGTTGACGTTTTTGTCTAGTTGTTCCAGCCATCAGATCAGGCTGCTCTTGATGTTGAGACAGGGATTGGATCTTTGCTTGCTGAAAACAAGAAGTATTTTGTTTTTTTTTTATGAATTATTGAAAGCTTTGGCGAAATGAGAAGGGTTTGAAAAATTTTATTTTGTTTTTGCTCAACATAAGATTTGGGAGTGTTAAATGTTAATAACACTTTTTTATAATTTGAAATTATAATCACTTATTTTTTGAGAGAGAACTTCAAGAACATCATTATACATGTCTTTTTTTATTTACTCCCAGTCGTTAATTGTCTTTCAAATCCTGCTCTTTCGTTGCGAAACAATATTACAAAATTTATAGAATTTACTTTACTTTTCAAAATTTAATAAATTTGAACTTATGGGATTTACGAAATTCTAATAAGTTAAATCTAATCAGTTGCCAGGTAGCCATTGAGAGATGCGAATGACGCTGAAGAAGTTAAGAGCTCGGTGTCACCTCCCAAAAGAGCTTTGAAGAGAGTTGGGCAACCCACGACTTAAATACTATTTTTCGAGCCCATGTGATTTTTTGTCCGTGACATTCTCCTCCACTCAATCATGTGACGCTCTCGTCACGGATCGACTCTTCAGAGGACCCCATTGGACTACGAAGAGTCCACACACCTGACAGGCAGTAATCTGCTCTGATACCACTTGTCATCTCTCAAAAGAGCTCTGAAGTGAGGTAAACAACCTAGTACTTAAATACTATTTTTCGGCCCTACACCTAGCTGATCAGTGACATCAGACTCTATAGCTGGAAAATATATTATATTCGGAGTCCGAACATAACTTAAGCTACCTCCGGAAAACAAACAAGTTACACCCAAAAAAAAAATATTATTTTTCTCCTCTATTCCCTTTTTTAAGTCCGGTCTACGCACACGATATATTTTCCTGTAGGGATGAACTGGTTACCCGCCGTGTAAGAGCTCCACATGTCAGTCCGAAATCGCCGATTCTACGATTTCAGTGGTTTGTTGAGATAATGGAGGAAAAAATATTACATCAGTACTACGCACGTAGAGGAACATGCGTACCCAATGAAATCACGCCACGATATCCCGCGCGACGCAGAAAAAAAAACGGCGCAGTAACACGGTGAATATTCCTCCCCGTGTTATTCATGTGTTATTGTGTGTTATTCATGTGTTATTGTATCCTGGGAATATTCCTGGTGTTATAATAACACAATAACACATGAATAACACACAATAACACATGAATAACACACAATAACACATGAATAACACACAATAACACAAGAATAACACGGGAGAGAATATTCCTTCATGTGTTATTGTGTGTTATTCATGTGTTATTGTATCCTGAAAATATTCTTGGTGTTATAATAACACAATAACACATCAATAACACATGAATAACACGCAATAACACATGAATAACGCGCAATAACACATGAATAACACAGGAGGGAATATTCCCCGTATTACTGCGCCGTTTTTTTTGCTCTACCGCTGAGATGTCATGACATGTTTTGATTGGTTACGCAGGTACTGATGTAATATTTCTTTAACCGGTGAGAGATCCCGCTTCCAACGCCACCGGGCGTGGGGTTGTCGCCTACAGCATTTTCTTTTCCGTGCATAGAATCCCATCTTTCACCGTCGCGCTCTTTTGGCTTGGAAACCCCAATGGGGGGATCTGGATCTTTCCATTGGAAGGAGGCTTAGGTCTACAGTGAGACGATGACACACTGGCGTCCTTGGGAGTCGGGAGCGATGGTTTGATGCCAAAGCTTAAGATATGAGGCTACAACCAGGCACGCAGCTGATCATGAAGCCTGGGCGCTGCCTCACGGCCCCTTCAACCCCGCCACTCACATTACTCTCTTCTTCTTCCATATCGTCGTCATCTCCGAGTTGAGGTAAGTATTTCTCAGATATCGATTAATGTTTTAGGTGAAGGAGCTTTTTGGTTGTGCCAGGATAAGAGTTGATCGTGTTCTTCAATGCCGGCATAGTTTCGTAGACGGATTCATAGTGCCTCCTGCACACGATCACCTAAAACAGAAGTGGTTAGCAGTCCAATTCGGGGATTTGTACCAGGTGTGATCTTCTGGGACTAAGTAATTAAGGTGAATGAGAGATCAGGTTATTTCAACATTGTTTTCCCCCTAGAATTAAAGAGAGAATGATCCTTTACATCGCATCCCTTGCTGAATTTATACAGGCATTTTGATGGAGGGTTTTGTGATGCTTAGGCATGTAATGTATGAAGCTTTGTCTAGGAGTCTAGCTCGAGCTGTAGCTTGAGCTTGGATCGAGTAATCTCATTATAAGTTTGGAGCTTGGCTCAGTAACTTGAGCTCGATTTATAACTATGATACCGGAGGAAACCCAAACCATAACGGGAATACAAATTATTATTTTTGAATTCCAAACAGATTACAAACATAACACTTGAAAGTGCAGGAAGTGACAAACAAACACAAACACCATAAACAATAAAAGATATCCATGGTGATAACGAGTACGGAGGCTGCTGGACGGTGGGTTGATGGTTGATGGAAAATGATTGTGGCTACTGAAAGAAGACTGGAAGGTGGCTAGCGGTTGTAGGGGAGGGGTTGCGGTTGAGGGGAGGTGGCAAGAGGGAAGATGGCTGCGGTTGTTTAAAGAAGGCTAGAAGGTGGTTGGTGGCTGTATGGGAGGGGCTGCAGTTGTTGGAGGGTATAGGTACAGCTGCGGAAAGTGCCAAACAATGACGAGGAAGGTGTTGACGGGGCTGGCGGAAACAGGACAGTTGTAAGCGTTGAACAACAATAAGAAGGGTGTTGGCGCGACTAGCAGCAGTAGGATAGCTGTATGAAACATCGAACAACAACAAGGAATGAAGATGGAAACAAGATCGAGTGGTTTATTACTGCTAAGAGTGGGGTCGAAGGGGGCTGCAGAAGGAAAAATATTTCGTCATGGTCGAGCTACAATCGGAGCACCACTCGGATCCTTGGAGACGGTCACCACCTCAGACGAGTTTAATAAACTGACAAACTTTACATTGAAACAAAGACAAATTTTTATCTGAAATAATTTGAGAACTAAGTATTTTAGATACTAAAATCTAGGATGACATAATATATAATGCCATAACATAATATCATTGTCTTTAGAAATAAAAATAAAATTTAAAACATTACTTTGATATTGTCTATTTGAGTCAAGTTCATGAAAATAATAAAATTCATCCTTTTACTTAGAACTGCCAATCATTCTACTTGTGGTCAGTTTATGAAACTCAAAACAAGAAGAATAAAAATTAGGTTGACATTGAAGATTAATAGTAATTTTACTAACGGACAACAAGGTATACGATAGATTAGGAACATGAAAAACATCGCGAAGGTTTAACAACGATGAGAATTTGACAGTTCTTACCTTGACAATTAACGAGAGGGAACCTTCAACAATTTTGATATTTTTATTGTTTGCCCAAGGCCTATAAGTAGAAAATATTTTAGAACAACTAAACATGAGATTAGTAGCACCAAATTCAATTATCCAATAATAGAAAAAGTTAGGATAACATCTAATAAAACTGTGGCTAAAGAGTTATTTTTTGTATTAAGGAGCAAGACAAAACCATGGACAACTTTGGAGATTGAAACAACTTATGCAAGTGCTCCGATTGCTCCTTGGTAAAAGGGAACTACATTTGAGTTAGCTGGAGGCTCTTGGGTTTATTTAACATTGGCTTGATAAGCTCTACCTTCATGTTTGTTTTTTGATTTTCAGTTTGTAGGTTCAACATGAAGTTTCCAACATGTCTTTTTGGCGTGCCATGATTTTTTGCAATGCTTGCATCTGGTTTCTTATGTCCTTCTTTTTCAGTGTCAAACCATTTTGCCATAAGAGTAGAGTCCTTCCGTTCAATGTTACAAGAAGTTTCGTGTTGCACAACCTAATTTTTCTTCTTGACTCTTCCAACCTTACTTCAAAAAAAAAACTTCTTGGATATAGGGTGTGGGTTTTTTACTGAGGATGCGACCTTAGACTTCGTCTAAACTTCTATCAAGGTCGACTAAGATATGGAGACTCGATTATTTTATTCTCTCTTCCTGTGGAGAACACAATCAATCAAATTCTCCCAAATGTCATCATAATATTGATTAAGTTCCTGCCATAATGCTGCGCACTCGTGTAGTGCACATTCGTTTTGTTTTGCTTTCCAGAGTTAGAGTTTTTAACTAAAATGTTTGGGAAGAATTCTCCAAGTATGAATAAAGATTTTAAACTTTCCCCCAGATATCTCGAGCAAGGGAAATGAATAGTTGTGTCTTTCCTATGATAGTTTCCATGGATTTGGTGGGCCAAATCATTACCAAAGAATATTTGGATTGCCATTTTTTCAAATTTGGATCGCCAACAATAGTTTTTGAATTTCTTCGATTAAATACCAATTTTCCTCTCTCTTGATCGCCAATTTTATGGATTGAGTTCATTCTAGATAGTTTGATGGTGGTTGAGTTTTATAACTGTGAGGTAAGGAGGTGAGTTATGGGGATAATACTCAGTCAATACAATCATAAAATGATTTATAGGGCGAGGCGATGTTTCAAAATTATTGAAGATGTGCGATTTAGTAGGATTTCCTTAGACTTTAGACATTATTGCTGATTTATACGGCATCCTTATTATCTGAGATGAGTAGCGCACATGCAGTGGCTATCTATAGGGAGAAGAAAGATGCTTTGATTCTGGTACGGGCTCAGCTTGCACAATTTCGAACTTGCTGTTGATGTCAGAGAAAGTTGCAAGGAGTTCAGTTCCACTAGCAGCAGTGCGAAACAGAGAAAATTATGAGAGGCTGAGCGGAACTCACAGACAGACGTTCAACCTGAATCTCTCAGACAATGCCAGAGAAAAGTCGTGAGAAATGAAGCGAAACTCGGGGACAGAACTATCAAATGGGCGTTCGAGCCCTAGCAATAGTGTGTATCATTCACGGGTAGACGCAGAGCAAAGCAGAACTCCTAGATGGACCGCTGAAAGATTTCAATGGCAAATCGTGGCTCTTATACTATGTAGTTTTTGGAAGGGAGAAAATAATTATCCATTTTCAATTACATGAGAAATAATTACGAGAGAAATAAAGGGGGATGACTCCCACATTAGAATCAACCATAATTCTAAATTCTAAAATTAGAAAATATTAAAAGAAAAGATATTAAAAATAAATCTTCTTAAAATTCTAGCGATTTTAAGTTTTAAGTTTCAAATATGATAGATTTATGTTTAATTTTAGTTTATAATTCAATGAAAGTTTATATTTGAGTTTTACTTAGTCTTGGGTTGAATTGTATTTAATTTAAAGTCTATGTTCAAGTTTCTTTTCATGTCAATTTGAGTCCATTTTGTATTAAGTTAAACTTAATTCAAATTTAAGTTTGAATTTGAGTTTATTTAATTAGATTTAAGTTTGAGTTGATTCTGTTTTTTTTTTTTCAATTTAAACTAAACCCAAGCCTTTCTCAACCATTGCACGCCCAAGCTGACCCAGGGTCATCCCAACCAGACTTAGATCAGCAAGGCCAAGCTAGGGTCTACCAGACCTAACCCTAGTCAACTTGAAAGGATCCTAGGCCTATATAAAGGAGTGGTCAGGTGGAAGATATTGACCAAAAATGAGGTAAACAACTGACTAATAATTAATTTGAGCTTGCTTTGACTTGTCTTTTCAACTCCATTTCGTATGTTGGCTTATGTAAAAAATTTAATGTACACTATAATTTAAATAATAAATATTAAGGGTTTAAATTTGAAGTTATAAAATTCATACTTCTCTACCACTTAATTTATTTTCCATCAGATTTACTTTATTTTTTCTTTTTTTTTTCTGGATTTTATTGCCTTAACTCTTCAAATAACCCATGTTTTGTCTTTCATAATAAAAAACTAGATTGTGACTAGGCCATCTAATCTCTTAAAATTTTTCAAATTCATGATTAATCTTGGGCTGATTTGAGCCCAACTTAACTTGTTTACACTTGTACCTATCAAGCTGATCTCATATGCTCATCACAAGCCTGTTGGCTTGTGTTCACTTACTTGATATACTTCATACGTCCAACATGTTTGCCTTCTAGTACGAATCCTTTCTAATTGCTTCAATAATCATGGTCTTTGTGAAGGGAATAATCATGGCCTCAACTTAAACTAGCGTGCCATGGTCATACTTGGAATCTTTATTAGTTCCACGATAATAATTCTTTCAAATATTAGTTCATCTCAAGCTTTTTAACTAATAAAAAAAAATAAATATTATCTTACTCCAATTCATGTACTATATTATAAAAAAATCTAAAAATTTTACTTTTCACCCTTCTCTTAATTATTTCTATTTATATATATTACAATTTTAATACTTTTATTGTCTCAATTTTTGGCAAGTCGTGACATTCTCTGTCATAATAAGCTAGTTGACTCAAACTCAAACTCATAAAATTAATCAGGTTCAATGTCATGTCAGGTGAGTCTTGAGATCAACTCGACTTATTTGCATTTCTACTTGTTGACTTGAATTGATCTACTCAACATCAACTTGTCCATCTGCTCATTACCAGCTTGTTAATCTTATTCATCCGTGCAACATCGTCCTAAAGGCCCTTTGATCAACAGCCATTCTAATTGCGTCAATAACTACAAGCATTGATATGAACCAATGCTCATGGTCATAATTTGACTCTTAGTTAGTTCCAATTGTAATCATTTTCTCAAAAGTTCGCATGTAGGCTTTTAACTTGTAAAAAAAGAGGAAGTTCTTTCGCAACCCAAAATGTGAAAATCTTATTATCTCTCGAACAATGAAATGTAGTATTTAAATTTTAATTTCATGCAAGATGTCGGTGAATCACAAGGAAATATGATCAATTAGTTCTCAACATTATTTTTTGTGGTAACGAAGATGAAGCACATCAATGTTTGTAAAAGAGGAGAGAAGCTTTTTCCAATCTAGTCACTTGACACTTGTGGACTTTGAAGTTGCACGTAAATCTTGAGGACATTGGACTCTTCTTCAATCACAAGGATTTCACAAATTAATTAATTGTTTTCCCAGGTATTTAACTTATATCTATAAGGTTTGTATTAAATTTAGGGAATTGAGGTTTCCCATGGACACAAGCCTCTCTGTTTAATTTCATATTGATATACACTCGATAATACTATCATTTATGGATGTCATTATGCTCTAGAATGGCGGTGAAATTTAGGTTTGTGCATGGTTGGCATAGATAGGGAATGAATAAATGACTCGATTAAAATCCCATTGTTTCATTGTGTCCTGATAGATTTGAAAACCAAGTTTACCAATTATAGAGGATATATAGATTGCATTATCTAAGGAATCTGACTAGCAATAATGGTTGCCCTTATTTTGGATATTATAAGTAGATTGGGTGATATAATTATAGTTGCTCGCCCTCACAAGATGAAATTTAGATACTCAAATTTAAATTGAATTTAACCTAAGAACTGTAATGACTTTGTTACAAGGGGAGGGGAAATGAAGAATCGAGGAAGGGGAAGAGAGGGGACAAGTAAATTAACAGAAAGGAGACGAAGCGAGGAGTCGGGCAGTTAAAGGAGGGAGATGAATGGAACAATTGGGAACTCAGAGGTCACTTGTGTTCCATAAAGCAATGCTAAGAGAAGACAATGCAAGTCCAGAAGAAGAAGAAGAAGAAGAAGAAGAAAGGAGGAGAAAAGAAGAGAAAAGAGCAGAGGTGGAAGGAAGGGCACAACTCACCTGTGTGGGAGGTTCGAGCGCAGCAAAGGAAACTGCATCGATGACAAAGTAGAGGAGGCGGCGTTTGTAATGAACCACGATCGAAGGAGGAGCCTTTACGTGCGCGACTGCCATACGAAGGAGGAAGTAGGGGCGTCGATGTCGAGAGCTTCGGGCAGGCAAGAAGAGTCTAGCGCAGAGAAAGAAGGAATTTGACCATGCCCTCAACTTTCGATGTAGATGATCTCAACCATGCCCAAAACATTCGTTGCAGATGATCGCGAGAAGATGGGTGCAAGCGTTTGTACGAAGAAGAGAGGAAGAATCGAGCTGAGGCTTTCAATCGAGCCGAAGGAGAGGAAAGGGAGTGCCTGTGGGAAGGGGGGAGGCCTAATCATAAGGCATGAAATTTGATAATACTAGTTATTATTATTATCTATAAATTATTAATTGCAATTTTTAATTAAATCAGATTTTAAGTTAAAGAAGTTCTATGGTAAGAATGGTTGGGGTATAAATTATTAATAAATTGTTATAATATATAAATAATCCTAATAAAAAAAGAAATAATACAAATTACTTAAAGTAGGATAACCTACTTTATTGTCAATATTTATTAAGCTTATGTTGTTAAATGAAGATAACAATTAGAATAATAGTAAAATTATTAATATTGTACATCAAAGGGTCAAATAAAGACAAATTGTCTTCTAACAATAAGATTAACATATAATAAATTAGAAATAATTCTTTATGCATTTAACTTTAAGTTTTTCATTGGAGCCAAGTGAACAGAGCGTTTAGAATCATTAGTGACCGAGATGAGTAGTGGTACTTTTTAATCTATGGTAGTATTTTGGTTCTTCTTGATTTTTATATATTAGTGGATAATGTTATTTACACAAATTTTATTTTGATTTATATATTTTCTTTTATTCGTCATATTGTTAGGATTGTTTATAGCTATTTATTATCATACATTGGTGTATGTTATATATAGGATATTCAATTGAGTGCGACGAGCACATGAATAATATATTTATGTTGACTGCTTGTATGTGCATGATTAATTATGGTGAATTCAATGGTACTAGTGTGAGAATACGAAGGTACCCGTGCATGTATATAAAAAATAATATTGATATTGATGTGTCTTAATTGACACCATTTTTAGACGGTGCTTTTGTGAAAATTATATAGATTTAGTATGATATTGATATGCTCTTGATATAATAAAGTTCTTTGAATAACGTCAAATGTTTTTATTGATTTATTAAAAGTTTGACTGATATGTATATTGTTTTCTTTTCTCTTGTATTATTTTGGTTTATGAGTATGAATATTTTCTGGCTTATTTAATTATTTTCTAATTTAAACCAACTTCACAGGGTAATTAAGTGATTAACGATAAACGTTAGAAGTGATAATGTTTATAAAAAATGCGGATAGACAATAAGAATGTATTGTTAAATATATTTCTTTAATTTAATTTGATTAGTAACTCTTTCATTTGTTAAATTGTAGACAAATATAAAAAAATTGGTTCCTACCATCATATTGTTCATTCCCATCTCAGTTAATTCCAAGACTCAGGCCATGTCGTGATAAAAGTGGTATCAGAGCCAAGGTTCAAGATTAGTTAATGAAATCTTGATGATTAAACCAATATGATAATTATAAGAAAGTTTTAATAATTATTAAAATGTTAAACTTAACTCAAAAGTAATAATCATTATCCATTCAAGCGTAGTGATACATCCAAAATCATAGAAGAAGAGAATCTGATAGAATACGAAGAAATACAAACTACTATTAATGTGAACACAGATAGCCTCACCTAAATGATGACAATGTTGACTCAGCTGATTCAAGAGTCCAGATCGCAGTCTATCGGAAGTGATGCAGTCGTTGTGGATAAGTACTTGAAGATATTTCAAGATTTACGTCCACCTTTGTTCAAGAGAACTGAAGACCCGATTGAAGCGGGGGACCGGTTAATGAGGATAGAGATGATACTATATAACATGGCTTGTCCGAATGAAATAAGAGTACCTTTGACGACATTTGTGCTAGATGGGGAAGCCAAAAGATGGTGGCGCGGCCAACGTTAGGACAAGCTAGGGGACATACCTAATATGATGGCCAATTGGGATGAATTTGTGGAGCTATTCAGAGAATAGTTTGTAACTGATGCATGAGAGGTTTATCAAGTTGAGGCAAGAAGAGAAGACAGTCATGCAATATGAAGTGAAATTCACTGCACTGTCGATGTATGCGTCACAGTTGATTGCTAATGCAGAAGAAAATATTTATATTGGCTCTTTGTATATGTATGACTGCTATAATGGAGTTACACCTTGATGATATCAGTGGGGGAATATTAAGATACTCATGCACGTATATGGAAAAAAATTTCTATATTAATGTGTCTTAATTAACACAATTTTTAGACGGTGTTTATGTGATGGTTATACATATATAGTATGATATTAATAATCTATTGTTATAGTAAGGTTCTTTGAATAACATTAAATATTTTTATTGATTGATTAAAAGTTTGACTGACATGCATATTGCTTCGTTCTCTTTTGTATTATTGTGGTTTATGAATATAAGTATTCACTGACTTGTTTAGTTCATTGTCATTTTAAACTAATTTTTTAGGTTAATTCATACTAATATTGGCTAAAGGCATGAAACATATTATTATAGTGATTTAATTTGGATCTCAACTATGCCTAAACAAAGGAAGTTTCCTAGGGCACAAGAGTAGCAATCCTGATTTGTTTTAAGTTTTGGGTTAGAGCACCATGACCTTGGATTGTTAGAAGCACAGTCTCATGGATTGGTTCATTCAACTTGGTGTGAATTAGGTTCTCACTTAATTGATGTGTCCTGATTTTGAGAATGACGGGGTGTAAATCTCTATATCTAGCAGAGAAGGCTTGTGAGACTCGATATTTATGTGTTTGACACACCTCAGTTTCCAGATTAAAGTTTGATGAAAGCAAGGATTATGTCTCTATTTTTTGTTGAGATATTCTAGGAATTTAGGGTCCTATGGTGATTTGATTAACAAGGAATTCAAGACCAATGCTTTAATGGCTTAGAGATCATAACTTACAACCCTAGACTTGTCGGAACTCAATAATGGGGTGTACAACCTTCGGCAAGGTGATTTGTGATCTTTTTGATCTAAAGTTATGTTTGTGGGTGTTTAGGGCTAACAAAGATTTGATTCTACAATAATGGAGGGACTTACAATCTTGTATTTTTTAGTAGACCCAAATCAGGGATTTGGTTTGGATATCATTTTAAACTTCAATGAGAGTTCTAAGACATATAACTCTGCTTATTAGAGAAGCCTATTATGTTATGACTTATAAGCCTAAGTTTAAGGAAGTTAGGTGTAGGCCTTGTTACTGTAGCTTAAAAGTTTGGAGTAGTTTATTGGATAGCTTTTACAATCCTCTACATAGAGAGGATGACTCGACATTTGGAACTATAGCCTCAAATTGTGGTAGGCTTTAAAGGGTCTGGTTGATGATTCATTAATTTTGAGTTGTCTTGTTTAATTTTTTAACTTGACTGTACATTGAAGTTCATAATATTACATTGAATTTCATAATATGCAATGCTTTGTGAGTCATCCTTGTTGTTTATAATGCACATTGTGCCTTGGAAGACACTAATCGAGCCTCTCTCTTTACTTACTGCTTTGTTGGGATACTAGATGCACGTGGTTATTTTCTATATTTAAAAAATTATTGTATTTTTCAAAATTAGCCCAACCGGACAAAATATTGGAAAAATTACTATGAGCACTTTTTAAGTTGCGTGAGTGTCTAAAGAGGATAGGATTTCAATTCCATAAATTTGGATGTCTTTTTATTTTGTTTTTATAAATTTATAAGTCTGAGTGTTTTGACAGTGAATTGATCCAACTTAGGAGATGATCTGATTGCATTTTGGTTGTTAATATTTGTAAATGGAGGCTTTAAGGACAAGTAGAAGCCAAGGATGGCTTATCCTGAGCATGAAGGCTTTGAGGCCCTTCGTGATCAATAAATGAAACTCTCTCGAGTGTATAGAGATTTGAAGCTCCTGTTATATCCTCCAAGAATCAAACCTAAACTGTCTTAAAAGGTTAAAGCATGCTACACTTTAGGAAGATGTCAGAGGAGGCCAGAATGGCTCAGGAATGAATCCTAACCATCAGCTCAACCGAAGCTAGGCTTAGGGAAGTTGATCCATCCATGTGAAGCTTAAGACAAATCAATTTGGTTGTATAAATTTTCTACTGATCATTAATATTACCTTGATCCGAATAACTTTGGATCGTGATATAAAGTTTAATCAAAGGGTTATGGTGGTTAACCAGCACAATGTAAGTTGGCTAGCGGGTTTGGTTAATAAGAATAAGGTTAAACTATAAGCTAATTAGGCGTTTAGGAGCCTGACTATCCAGAATTGAATATTATCGCAACTTAAGTTCATTTAGGTTAAATTGGTTTATTAAGTTGAATTTGTCTCGTGCCTGATTCACAAATATAGTTGGTATTTTTTATATGCTACGTGAAAATATTTAAGTATGTTAGGTTCGGCCTAGTTTAGTTCTATCTTAACCAAGTCACTAGATGGATAAATTGTTCCTTGCCTTAATGAAATTTGATAAAGTTCCATTTGCAATTGGTTCAAATTATTTTAGATTGACATTGGTGCACCAAATTATTTTGATCATGCTTAACTATCCTCAAGGAAGTACGACTTAAGCTAGGCTAACTATTTTAAAGTTAATAGCTTACTTCATTGATTTTGGGTCGAGCTGATTTATATTAGGTTGGGGTGGATTACTCTAGGGTGAGATAGGTTAAGTTGATCATGCCAAGTTGGCTTTAATTTTTCTTGGGTTCATCAAACCATTTAAGATTTAATATAGGCTAAATTGACTTCTGTCAGACCAATTAAGGATCATTTGAGGTGACTTAATCAAATCAAGTTTTATTTTAGATCACATTTGAAATGACTCGAGCCAATTTAATTTGACCTTTAGAGTAAGTTTTTTATTTAAAACTGTGTAATAGGAGACTCATTTCAACACTAATTTGAAAAAAAATTATCATGAGATTTTATACGTCCTCTTGGTCTGACAAGACATACACCTCAATAATCACGCTTATGTATAATTTTTAAAAGGCGCAAGCAATAATCACGCTTCTACATAATTTTTAAGAGGCGTGAGCCTAAAAAATAAAGATTCATATAATTTTAAAATTTCAACTTATAAATTAAATATGTAAAATAAATTGTATTTTCTTATTTCTCTACATCTAAATCTAAAACAAACAAAATAAGAGAAAGCAATTCATTATAATGATGATTCTATTGAAATTCCAACAAAGGAGATTTTTGAATTGATAAATCATAATCCTGGTGACTTAAATTGCTTGTTTAACTGGAATCAGGATTGAAAAAGACTTACTTTTGAGTTTTTAGGAGATTAATTTTATGTTAATATGTTATTATTATTTATTATTATTATTAATTTGAATTGTTTAAGTTTGATACTTCATGAAAAAGTCTCAATATTGAATTGTACAATTTCAAGCTTTGACTAATCTATAAACAATGAGCTTTGATACCATTCTTAAGTTCAATCAATGCTTGATTGGTCCTGAAGGGTGTAAGCTCACAACACATTGGTCTTGAGCATGCATTTGAGTCAAGGTTGAACCGGCTAAATCAAATATATGGTAAATGACCTATAATATTTTTTTGGGTTCTAATAAATCAAATTAAGGACTTTTTCATGGTTAAAGCATCTATTGGTGCTTAAGGCCTAGCTTTTTCTAGCTCAATTAACAAGGTTACTTTTAACTAAGGTTAACGCTAATTAAACTTTGGTTATGCCATGTTAGACTTAATGTAGCTACCTGTTCAGAGGCTTGTGCATGAGGAATGATGACATCCTAATGCTAATTATTGGGTCCTTTGTGTTAGCAGTCTCATCCTGTGTTATTTTTCACCTCTATAAGTAGGGGCATGATCTAAGGTCAAATAGATCTCTAACAATTTAGCAATGATCAATCAGCAAGTTAATAATTTTGTGATTGCCTAAGTTTTGTCAGCACCAATTGTAATGCTTGAAGTCAAATTATCTAAGATATTGTCTGCTTTGGCCAAACTTGTTTCATATTAGATCGAACTTAATGCTTTTATAATTTTTTTGTTTACTTCTCTTGGAGGTCATCTACCAGGTGTGCTCTATTAGGAGCCTTGGCCCAACTTGTTTCATATTAGATTGAACTTAACGCTTTTATCTTTTTATTTATTTATTTATTTTATACTTCTCTAGCAGGTTATCTATCCAGGTGTGCTCTATTATGAGCGTATTTAATCATGAAGCTTTCGACCATTGTGCTAAAACACGCGTTACATAATATGGCTTGGATTGTTACACAAGCACCCATAAGCTTTATGTTATTTTTCACAAGCACCCATAAGCTTTATGTTATTTTTCTAATCGAAAGCACGATCTATGATTTACTTAGTACAATGAGCACTAAATCAACACAACACAAGTGCCAACATATTAAGAATGGTGATGATTATATTGTTAAACAATGTTATGTGTGAATATGCATGTCAAGTTTAATTACAGGTGACCTACTTAACAACTATTGGCACATGCACAAGTCATCAAATTACCACATAAGGGCTCATCTTTAAACCAAGCAAGTAGTAGTGCAATAGAATAAATCTATACTGAGAAACAAGGACGCTATGGTTTTTATGTGGCTCAACCTCAAATCTGCCTTCTTTTATGCTTATGGAAGGGGGAATTTCTCACTAGTTGCTGAGGAGCTAAGCATGGCTAAAAGAGTTAATGTTTTCTTGCAATGATAACAGGAATCACGCCTTTTATGGAGAACATATAATTGAATTGTCAGGTTCTAGAGCATACAATAAATCTTTTCAGATGCATGTTTAGGATTCATAACCAGCTCTGACTGCTTTCACTGTCATTCCTCGAAGCGCTTTTTCATCAACTCATTTTGTTCTCACATACGACACCAAAAAAGTGGATGAAGAAAATGTTCTATTTGGTTGAAGTGAATGTGCAAGAAGTCTTCCACTTGGGATCTCATAAGTAAGAAAATCGAGGTTAGTGAGATACTCAGAGCATGCATAAACAATAAATAAATTGATGACTGTATAAATGAATTGAGTCTTGATTTTTCTAAATCCTTCATGTTTGATATCTCAACGTATCATAAATGTCGCCTACTTACCTCTTTTAGAGAATCCAACTCAATAGAGTTCATTTTTTTCTATTATTATTATTGATCTAATGTTCTAAGCATTAAATTAGGTGACCTTTAATGAATTTATAAATTGAGCCAGCGTTTATGTTGTGATGCCTGATGGAATCATCTTTATCTAAAGAGGAAATCAGCTCGATTCTTAGGATGATATGATTATTCTTGAATGACAGATTTTGAAACAATTTATTTAAGTTTAATTAATATACTGGAATTAAGTGTTGCTTGACATGCCGGGCAGTTTCTGGATGAGGACAATTCAATTAAGCTAATCAAACTACATGCACGGTTTAATAGAACAGATTAATATGATGCTGAATCGATGTTAAGCTGATGTGAATGTTAAGCTAATGTGAAGAATATTTTAGATGATTCATAAACATAACTAATTACAACAATGACGTATATTGATATATAGTTACATTGCTGTCTGAGTCCACATGTTGAATTATTCAATTGTAGTGGTATGAACGTTTGGGCTTGTATTTGGATGAGTCAGCTTGTCACCAAAAAAGAGTCTATTTAAGAAGATGAGTTGTTTATTACGTGTTAAGTTGATTTTAGTAATTTTGAGCAAATTTGATATATCCGAGCCATGGATGAATAGATTTCTAATTTGTTTGAATGGATTTGAAGTGTAGATAGAATAGTATTGAGGCTATATCTATGGATTTGGTAAATTAACTGAGTGGATCCTATGCTTAATCGAATAGATTAAAAAATTCTATTTTCACGAATTGATTAACAAATTCTAGATATAAGATTCTGAGAAAGAAAATTATGCTTAACAACTGCTGAAAGATCACGTTCATTGTTTTTAAAAAACCATTAATATAATTTAGGTGAGGTGACGGCATTCACCGTTGTGCCAGAGGTCAATAGGTGCTCAACTAAATGCATGACTCATTAACACATAATATTAAGGGCCCAAATATGATGATAAAACAAGGAATAACCTTCATACAACTTTTAGGCTTCTTTCTGTAACATGTTGCCGTATTTGATTCTTTCAATGGGTTATTCAAGGAAGTTCTTCAGCCCTCTCAGCTTGTTATCAAGACATGGTGCCACTTATTTTATTTGGATTAGTTTCAAGTCTGGGCCGTGTCGGTCAACTTTTTCGATGATTTGAAAATATGAATATGAAAATAATTTTTGGTTTTAAAAGTAGTATTTTTAAAAGTAGTATGTTTTGATTTTTTTTTTTTAAATTGAGACCAAATGGATCTCATTTGTCCAATAGTTTGCATAATCGTGCCCGATACCGCAAATACTACACCCTCCCGAAAGATAAGTGTAGATCTCGGCGATAGACCCAATTCTGCAAACTAAGAGATTTGTGACATCCGTTTGGTCTGCAAAGCTTTTATGTATGACCGACAAGTTCTCCTATCTAATACAAGAATTAAATAGGGTTTTATTTTACCTACGTTTTGATTTTTTTTTAAAAATGAGACCAAATGGATCTCATTCGTCCAATAGTTTGCATAATCGTGCCTGATACCGCAAATACTACACCTTTCCGATAGATAAGTGTAGATCTCGGCGATAGACTCAATCCTGCAAACTAAGAGATTTGTGACATCCGTTTAGTCTGCAAAGCTTTTATTTATGACCGGCAAGTTCCCCTATCTAATACAAAAATTAAATAGGGTTTATTTTACCTGGGTTCTAAGTTCCCTATAAAAGCAAGCCCCTATAGTTAATTACATTTCAAATGACTAGGGTCAATTGAGAAAACTCTTGATAATGATCAGAGGTATTAGTCTTCAAGATTCCAAAGTTTAGGTTTTCACGATAGGACGTGGAAAATCAAGTGGGAATGACTCAAGACGGAACACTTATTTCAGGAGTCCAAAGGAAGGAACATGTAGGGGATGTCATAGATCCTGAGGAGAAACCTCAGTGACATCCCAGACTATCCCACTGTGTGGCTGTGTTTTGGAGAATATGTTATTCAATAGTTCGATCCTGTCAATTTTATTATTTGGGACTTACATTTGCATAATACCCGATTATGCAAATAGTCTGCAGAAATAAGAGGGTTTACGTTGTGTCACACGACAACCTCGGAACCTAAGGCGGGTTAGGACTTACGCTGCACAACATGGTTGTACAGGAGCATAAAAAGGGAGTGAGGATTTACGTCACGCTAGACGAGCTACCTCGAAAGTGGTCTCCCGTTTTCGGGAGGGGTAATTAACTATAGGGGGTTGTGCCTATTGGAAACCTCGAACCCCATATCAAAAATTTCTCGCAAAATGATGGCGAAATCTCTAGGTAGTTTCTTATCTACAACCCTTGCCTTCTGTTTCGACCCTCCAAAGCTCTCTCGAATAAAAAATTGTGGAAAGTTCTTGGGGAACGGTCATGAATTTTTGGAGCTCACACTTAACAAGCCCAAATATGGTCAAATCGTTGACATTTTTCTTCACTTAACAAGCCATAAAAACGACGGCAGTGAATAAGCTCTTGTTTTGTTAGTCTGTTGACAAAGATCGTCAAATTTCAAGCATATTAAACTCGATAAATTCAAGCAATCTAGATCAAAGGGATTTTCTTGAATAATCTAAAGGTCAAGGAAAATCAAAAGAATGATAGTCGCTCAAGGAGGCATCAAGCCAAGCTTGATGGCATGTTCAAATAAAGAAAGTTCTACATTTTCAAATAGTCTGGTCAAGCAAGAGGCACATACTGGAGGAATTCTTTTCTTCAATAAGTCCAACAAAGAGGAAAGCAAAGGACCGAAGAAGTTAACCTAAAAGTTCGTTCAAAGCTTGATGCTGAATTGAGAGAATTCAATTGTTGACAAGTCCGATAAAGCACCAAGCATAAGACCGACGATCTCTTGCCACTAACTCATCAAAAGTCTAAAGGCTAGGTCACTAGCATGCATCCTTCGGCAAGTCCGCCAAAGTTCAATGCTAGGACCAAAGTTATGATCATTCTCCTGACGAGTGCATAGAGACAATTCAAGTCAATTCCTTAGCAAGTCCGTCAAAGCATAAAGCTAGGACTGAAGGTATATGTTCACTCACCTTATAAGTCCATAGAGACAATTCATGTCAGTTCCTTCACATATAAGTTGTTATTATATGTAGAATTTTCAATTTTTAATGATTAGTTTTAATCGAAAGTGCTCTCCCATTACCCGGAGGGTTAATTAACCATAGGGCTTGCGCCTATGGTTAACCTTGAACCCCAGATCAAAAGGTTGCAAAATGAGGGTGAAATTTCTGGGTAATGTCTTATCTACAATTCAATCTGCCTTCTGAAAATTCGACTCTCCAAAACTCTCTCTCTCTCTCTCAAAATAAAAACAAAATGCAGGGAGTTCACAGTGAACAGTCGGGATTTTTCGGAGCCCACAGGCTCATATGGATCGTCTTTTGGATGTGCGGTCTCCGCTCATAATATTTGCTCTCTAACATAAAGGTCTCAAGGTTTTGTCAGCATTTAGGCCATAACTGAACAAATTGAGTTGTCTTCTTATTTGGTTCTGATAAACTCGAAAGTTAAAACTGAACCTATTTAATTTTTGAATTCTTCTTTCTTTTATCATGAACTCAGTCTAATAGAAGTTTTTTACTTATAATTTCAGGTTTATCTGAATTAATTGTGCTTCCATCGCCATTTTATGTTGCTTTAACTATAATCCAACACAACTTAATTGCATAACACTCAAATCCTTAATATCACATAAAAATATCATTATTACTCTTTGAAATACATCTTTTTAATACATTAGATTTATGACACCAACGTGATGCAAATGTAAGTATAAAATTTTAGTTTTTAGATACGGAGATACATAAGAATTGTGTGGCTTATGTGTGAATTTAACTTAAATTTATTGTGGAAGAGACTTGCATTCAGACGATACCTACTGGATATAATACATACGTAGGCATATAAGCTTCCATTTCTGTAGTTAGAAACATCTTTGACTGAATGTAGTAAATGAACCAATGAATCGTCCCAAATAAAAGAAGTTCCCCTCGGTATCTCATCCAAATAGAGCATGGCTCATCAATTATTATTTTTTTTGGCGAAGTCAAACTATTTTTTGCCTTTATCACTGAATTTTCTTTGAGAAGCAACTTGTTTAAAGTTTTCATTTTGTTCTCTTTGAAAAGTACAATTTGACTTAACAGGAAGCATCTGCACCACATGCTTTTTTCTAATATATGTTGTGCACAAAGTCAGTGTTGTTAAGATGAGTTTATTTTATTCTTAAATGCAGTATTTATGTTTTCTCTTAGTCCTTTTTTTGTAAAATTCCATGTATGCGTCCACTGTCAGTCTGACTTATTATGTTAGCTGTTTTGTCCCAGTCCAAGTTTTTTGACTTTTAAGCACAATCATTGAACTTATTTGAATTTGTGAGCTTTTAATGTCAAGGGGCAGTTTCTGAAGCCCACAAAAGTTGGAAGTTTTCAGTCCATAGAAGTTGACTTTGTTACCCTGCCCTCAAAATGGTGCATTTGTTTGAAAATACTGAAGATATGGATCATAATGCTTCACCTAACTGAAACTAGAGAAAAATGAATGTTTATAATTCTTACAAACATTTTATCGTTTGTCAGATAATATATAGTGGTACTCTAAAGACTTGTTCTCATCAGGTGCTCCGAGTAATCAAATCCTTTATGACCAGTTAAATTATCAAAATATCATAAATGAAGGGGTTTTCTTATTAAAAAAAAAGGTTATATTTTAGGCTCTATACTCAATAATGAATATATGCAAATTAAAATCACTTTGGGAACTTAATCTAACATATCTCCATTACAAATATTGAAATAAATGAACAGAAAAGAAAGTAATCGAAACCAAAAGCTTAAGTTGGGTGCTGTATGCTTTAGAGCAATCCCACATTCATCTTTCATATTAGTTTGCCAAAGTGGTAAAATTTAAGTTTGATTAATGCTCACAAATACTTAATAGCATATCAATTAAATCCCCTAATGCTACTAAAAAAATATCATGTTACGTAGGACTTGAAATTAGGCTGGCCAGATTGCAATGATGTTATTATTTTATG